TACTTTCGGGAAGGAACAGCTGTTCCTAAAGCAATTTGCATTCAACAAGTGCACCATGGCTCTAACTAATGGATGTGAAAGGTACAGTGGAGATAATCTGAAGAATGCCATTCTGCCATTGCCTCCTGGACCACCCAAGGTTTCTAAAGAAAAGGCCATTTACAAATTACTTTTTAAGATTTTTACATGTTTAATGGCTGTTTGCTTGATTTTCTAGAACTAGGAAATGATTTACATCTAGCTAGCCATCAAGACTGTATTTTTATTTTTCTTACCACCTGTGTAATAGCTGAATGGAGAGTGGAGAATAGGCTTATACATTTTCGGTACTTATCTTCCCTGTTGGATTAATGTGTTTCATATAATTGTTGATTTTTTTATATATTAGGGTTTAGGAGACTCATCATAGTGATTAAAAGGGAATGACAAATGACATTTTGTTGAATAGCTGACATACACCCTGGAATTTGCAACAGGAGATAACAACCACAAGGACAAAATGCCAACATACCATGGATGGTAGAATAAAGGATAGGTTGAGTTTATGCCCTTGATGACACTGTTGAACCACTGAGCTGGCCTGCACTGCATTTTTCCATATTTCATATTGTGGTAATTAAATGTCTGTTGCTTAAACTCTGCTTGTTGAGGTTTTTTCTTGCAGCCAAAGACATTCCTAACTGATCTGATGTCTCAAATCAAACTCCTTCTTTCCCATCTCCCCTCCTGTCTTGTTCCTCCAGTTACTGGCATCCACCCAGTTGCCCAAGTCAGAATCTTGGGGATCTTTCTCAACTCCTTTCTCTTGTTCACACCCCCTCCTTTGATATGGGGACTGTTTCTTGCTCATCTTTTTATCTCCAATCCCTGGTACAGTGCCTGATCCACAGAAGACACTCAAAACACGCTTGCAGAACTAAGTTAAATTAGAGGGACCAGATATTTGATGTCATGGATTAGTACACGGATATTGAGTAAAGTGAAAAGTTTCATCTTGGGGGATATTTTATTCGGGATTTAGTGAGTTTTGATGAACTAGGATTGCCCCTCATCAGAAAATATATCTTTCTACTGACTAAAATTCTTTTGTCTCTCTGATTACATGTTTCTTTCACACGGGCGTTGTTGAATGAGCATTGGCTTATTTTTCTTCTCGGATCCTTGTTTTTAATTTTTCCATGTCGAAATTCCTCTTTCATGACATTTCTGCCCATGAAGTGAATGCTATTGATTAGGCTACAGTCAGTGTTGCTCTTCCTACCTTTAACCTGGCAGACATTCGGCATCTTTAGAATGTCTTCTTCTAATGTCTGCTCTCTTCTTTTAGATTCGTTGATTATATTAACCTTACTCTCAGAATCTTGGGTAAGTTCTCTGTCTTTCTGCATAGAGGTTGAGGATATAATGATAACTGAAGGGGTTCACAGTCTTGTGGGGAAGCGGAGAGAACACCAGATTTGAAGTGGGAAATAACCCTGGGGTTTGTGTAGCAGCAGATCCTGTATGTATGATTTTAATCATCATAAAACCCAATCAATTCTGTCTTCTTACATTTTCAGTGGGAAGCAGAGTTACACCCACCCTGTCCACCTCATAAAACTCATGAAAATCAAGAGTCCTGCAAGTGTAAAGCTTATGTCATGTGTCTATTCCAGGGTGCAGTGACTTGAACTTGAACCACATAGACTGAACAAGATTATTATAGAAGGAGAAGATAGATTCCCATTAGGAGACGTGTTGGGCAAACAATAAATAAACATCCAAAAGAGGTAGCTTATAGAATCCAGGCCTACTGTGAGATCTTTTGTGTTCAAGAAGAATTTCTAGTTTACTCTTTTCTATATGATGTAGAACTTATTAGAAAAAGGAACAGGAGGATAAACTGTTTTCAGAGATATAAAAATCCTTGTTAAAGCTCTAAGTCCTATTTAGATTTTCCCAGGATGGCCACACTTAGCTCCTAACCTCAGAGTCCAAGGAGGGCTTCAAACCAGACCTCAGGTAGAATACTTGGAACTAAAGTGGGACCCTTGTTCAACCTTCTCATGTTACAGTAAAGAAACTGAGATTCAATGAAGGGAAATGACTTGCTTTAGTTCACAGGGCTAATCAATGTATGATCAGGACCTAGAACTCAGGTCTTTCGGCTGCTGGGCTGAGAGATCCAGCCATGTTAGAATCAGTTGCAAGGTATTTCCGAGTAATTCATTACTAATCAGAGTTCAGGCACCAAGATTTTTGAAAGATTGATTTTTGTGTTTTAAAGAAACAAGAGCAAATTCAGGGTTATTCCTACAGTCATGCCCATTTCTCTCAATTACATTCCATCATTCCTTGAAGAGAAGAGAAACTGGTGGAGATTACATTCAACCTTGGCTACATCCATGAGAGTGTTGTGTAGATGTGAGCATCAGCCATATCCCAACAGAAAAAATTTAAATACCACAATGTCAGATCATGTGATGCTCAAGAGAGGATCTGAGTATCTGCCTTCGTGTGATTTTTTCCTTTAAAGGGAAAAAAATGCGACTTGCTTTTCCCTGGACACATTGTTGGATGGAGGAGGACAATATGCCTCTGAACACCCACCACTCAAGAGGCATCGGCTACTTTTTAATCTCCCTTTTTACTTCTGGAGTCTCAGATCTCACTGGATTCTTTTACTATAAACTTCTGCATACTATTTATTTAATTTATTCATACCTTCATATATTAGTAAATATTTAGACAGCCCGTATGTGTCAGACACCAAAAGGTATCAACTACCAAGTAAAGGGATAATTTGCTGATGTTTATACTTCCATACTTTTAGTTTCCAAAAGTGAGTAAAAATGATATTTTTTTTTAAAAAAGTACTGGAACAGTAGTAATACTCTGATGTGCTATTTTTGTGATTAGTCCTGTTTGGCAAGCTCTGCTGTAAGACACGTTAGAGCGTTTGGCGGAGTAGAGTGCATTTAAGTGGGTATTCAATAAAGATTGATAATGATGGTGATGATGATGATGATTGTAGTGACAAGGATGAAGCAACATGGCGCTTTGCAATGTGTGGTGAACAATGGCAATTACATAGCAACTTCTGTTATTGTCTTCCAGACAAGTGCCTGAAAACATTACTTGAGTAGAGAGATTGTTGCAAAGTCTCTTGGTAACGAGCTGCCTTTAATCCAGGCAAACGGGAAATCAGTATTAGCTTGGTGACAATGTCTGGAATAAACCATTAAGTCTATGAATTGCAGTGTTTCATGGTAATTATAAATCTCCAAAGAGGGACTACTTGGGAGATAAATATCTTTGGAGGATTTCAGGGCACGGTCAACGAGGTAATGAGAACTGGATAGGGTTGATGCAGACTTGTTTGATTAGGCTGTGTCTTTGCTGAATCATGATGGCATTGGATCCCAGTGGTCCCATGGCTTTTTTTGTTGTTGTCAGCTACTCTGAGGCCATGGGTAATTGGTGAAAGGACTGTGAGTCAAGTGCAAAGGCAGAGTAGCTACTCTAATAACATCGCCCTAGAACCTGGATCTGTTGCAAAATCTGGCATTTGTCTGTTCCCATCTCACCTAATTATTTGTTGAAGGGATAGATGAATGCTTGCTTCTCAGATTACTAGGGTAATAGAGTCCTTGGCCAGCCTAATAGACTCAGATTTTATACACAAATCTATAAAATCTTATATAATGTGTCCTGACATGGCATTTTCGCGAAGCCCATTTGCTTTTGTATTCTAAATTATTTTGCACAGGGAGCTACTTTAAATCATATATCAGGAAAACAATCTGTCCTCCCAAGAACCCACTCTCCTCAGATTTGGGCCTTTGGTGGGTTTATTTCAAATGAAGACTTGAATGAAGATGTGAAACATTATCAATATTGTTGTGTTACCTGTCATATCTACCTTCTGTGGGGTTAGCCAGGCCTAGTGAAAGGGAGGTGGGGAGACTGAAGAAGCAGGAAATGATAAGTTTTGTTTGGGGTGGGGGCATGGGGGTGAGGTATGGGCTGAAGTCAGTGTTAGCACAGAGTCAACTCACAGGACCGAGAAGACAATATAAATGGGTCCAGGCTACTATCAGCAGGGAAGGAAGAATGATCTGGCACAAATTACAACGTGATACTTCTGTTCTCAGGAAGAAAATCATTTTACAGTTACACCATGCTTTACCACGGCTCAGGTGCCCAGACCTAACCCAGTCAGCTCCGACAGCTGTCTGGAGAACCCAGCTCATCCTCACAACATTTTAAGGTGGGGAGTTTTCACCTCTTTTCAGAGGTAATAAGAATAGGCAAGATTTCCAAGTGCTTTGAATGAATGATGCAACTCTATTCTATTACCCTCTATACTCCTCAAAACACACCTGTGAGGCAGGTTGCATTACTATCTTCATTTTACACATGGGGAAACTGAGGGTTCGAGATGTTATGTAAATTGCTTGAAGTTTCACAGGCACCCCAAGCAGTCTTCCCTGAGGACCCATGTGTGTCTTGCTGATCCTTTGTTAATCCAGATGAGGAAATGAGATTCAGAGAAATTCAATGAATTGCTCAAGATCACACAGTAAGTAGCAGAGTTAGGATCAATATAGGCCAAATATTTCCAAGTTTGCTGCAGTGGTGTTCTACTTTTTCTCATCCTTACACACTGAAAGGATATGACTTATCACAGGGGTATCAGTGGTGGTGTACTTATCATTTGAAACAGCCCCCTAAGCGAGTCTGATATACACCAACTTTTTCTGCCTATACTCTCTGGAAAACAGAAACTTAGGCAAAGCTTTCATGCTAATGCTTCATTGGAAGGTGCAATTGAAGGATATTTAAAGTAAGGGAAAATGGGACAAGGCATGGAATGAGTCGAGGCAGACACAGCTTTGCGAGAAAACACTACCAGGTACTCGTGTGGCGTGCTTCCAGCCAAGCAAATAAAGGACCAGAGTGCCCCCGAGAAAGGAAGGGAGAATTTTTCTGACAACTCCATCCCATTGTCTGTCTCTTACCTCTCAATGTTGGCCCCAAGGGGCATTAATTCCCTTGCAGTTCTAGGTTTGTCACCTGGTTTCTGAGGGCAGCTCTGGAGAAGCTAGAGCTCTGTGGATCTGGTTGGGTTATATCTGGGCACTTGAGCTGCTGTTGCTTCTAGCAGAGTCTGGGCTTCACCAAGAGGGAGGTCAAGACAGCTAACAGTGCGAGAAGGTGAAGTGGTCGTGGCCCGGGGGGCAGAGGAGGCTGGACAGCTCTGGGGAGATGCGTACACTGTGTCTGATACTCTGCTCAGACCATCCTCTGGGATCCGGCTCTCATGCTGTAGTAGTGGGCCTTCAGTTTTATAGGACCCAAATGCCTTCATTTTGTTCCTAAGGGGGAAGGTACAAAATCAGTTGGTTATAGAATCCACATCACTTGCAATCTCCTAAAAACACTTAGAGTGGGTTAGTGAACTAAGCTGCAGGCCCTATTGCTGTACCTGATCCCAAGAACAGAATTGATATCCACCGTCTCCCCCTTTACCCACCATTTTAGTTTCTTCTCTCTAGGCAAGCACATTGACTGGTCTTGTTTGCTAGTCTGGTAGGAATTCCAGACCTTCCTCCCTAAGTAGTCTGAGCACACGGTTGCTTTGTCTTTGTGGTCTGTAGTAGTTACTGTAACTGCCCATGAATAGTTATCACTAAGCAATGTAAGTATTAAGAGATGCCCTACTGAATCTTCTGGGTTCTATAAATAATCCTTTCTGTCTTACTGTGTCGTAGCAACCAGAATTCCTCATGGTAATTGCTGTTGATTACCTCAGCAGGAAGTAACTTTTCTTTGCCTGCTGGTTCATGGGCATAAGGAGCCCAGAGTGGCCAGGTGGGAATAGTCATAGTTGCCAATTCAATGGAATCCTTATTGTGTTACTTAGTGGAAATGTTTTCTACCTCCCCCCGCTCCTCACTCCAAATAAGAAATAGGAGCTCTAACTTGGCAGAGGTTGACGTTTCAGGACAGGAAATATAAATTCTGCTAGGGAAAGTACCGGTGAGAGGAACTCTTCCTGCTTCCACCCCTTGGTTCCTAGATCCACACAGTCCAGCCAGGAGACCCAGCACTATATGTGGGCCTTTGACTCTATGTATATATTGAATCCTGGAGAACGGTGCCTCAACAGTGAAGCCCAAGCGGGTTCTTTAGCTGAGCCTTCAGTAGGCTCTGTTATTTTTGTAGGCCAGTTGCTTCTGGTAATGGGATACATAGTAGGACCAGTGAATCCTGTAGTCACAGGCCCATTGTCACACCTCCTTTACCTTAAAATGGATTCTTTATTCAAGGTAATATAGTGTGAAATACCATGTTGGTGGATTAGGCATCCTATGAACCTCCAGATGCTGGAGATGGCAGAGGCAATGCAGGCAGGGAAGGTGATCTGGAGTAATATTGATTCTGATAAAGATGAATTGCTGTCTCTTTAAAGTGGAAGGTGTCTAAAGATGAAGGGTGGCATATGGAGGGCTCAGCATTGGTCTCTGCACCTGGAGGATTGAGCACTCAGCAGTGGCAGTAGCTAGATTAGCTTTGGGAGGTGGAGACAGGGTAGGGAATCTATGTTGTTGGGCCCATGCAGAGCTGCTATCCCTTCCACCATCGCCAGTTAGTTCATGGCCTATTGAGGTATCCCTCAGAGGTTGGCTGGCATCTATAGGATGCATCATCCTGTCCGTTTGGTCTTTGAGCTCCTCCTCTGCAGTTGATAATTTCTGGTGAGCATTCACATGAGACACAAACATCCACATTTTGTGCCCCCTCCCGTCTGTCCATCCATAGACCTTTTCACTAGACCTCATTGTAACTGCTCTTTCAGATCTGTTGCCTTCATAGCCCTGAACAGTCAGCCAAACCACTTATTGATGTCCAAGTGCCTGTTTATATCCATGAGTATACTTCTTGGAAATCCACCTGCTGGGAGAATTTCCCCTCAGTGGTTTTTTTCTGGGACCCTCCTGAGTGGGGCTGTAATGTGGCAGCAATATATTTCCAGCAAGCACCAACATATATCATGCTGACTCATCTGTGAGCCAGCTCTAAGTCTTTCTTTACTCTGATGGTTTTTCATAGGGAACTCCTTGTGAAGCCATAAATGCAGACAAAAGAGAAGGATCAGTCCAACAGCGGTAGGAGTCCGTTCACATGAGTTACTCACACCTTCTGGACCTGCCTGAGCCTGGTCCTCAAGTACCACCGACATTGTGACTCAGTGGATCAGACACTGCCTAGCTTATCATGGGCAGCTTAGGTTGTTTCTTCACTTGGTGTCCCACGTGGGTGTTCAGCTTCTAGCCCGTGGAGTGTCAAGACCTGTTTTTCAAACTGAGAGCAGTTCTCTGCCAGAGGTCATGGTCTTGCTCCAGAGCTGTAGGGACCTGCACTGTAGTATCTAGGAATGTATTCCCTCTATCATCCCTCTTTGAATTATCTCCCCCCCCCCCCGGTTTTATTGAGAAATAATTGACATAAATCACTGTATAAGTTTAAGGCACACAACATGATTTGATTTACATATGTTGTGAAATGATTACCACAATAGGCTCAGTTAACCTCCATCTTTTCATATAGATATAATATTGAATTATCTTAATTGTGTTTATGATGGGCTTGCTCCTCTGAACATAATGTCATCATCATGTATGACATTACTGTAAATTACTGGAAAAGTCCAGGATCCTTTATTGTTGACCATTTATAGAGTACTGGTACTTTAATTTAGACCAATTTTGTCCATCAAATACATTGAAATAGCCATTTCATTTGGTGGAAACAACATGTTCGCATGCCAATACAAACAGAAAAGGGGAGAGAGGACCGGGAAAGACAGAAAGTGGAAGAGAAGTTTTGCAGTTTATCAAGGTATGATAACAGCCCTTATAACGCTCTTAATCTGGAAGGGTGGGGTGATAGAGTGCCTTTTTGGAGGGAAAGTCTTGTTTTACCAGATCCAGGTGTTGTGCGGGCAGATCTTTACTGCAGGCTAAAGTCAGTGGCCATTGTGTTAAGATCTTTCTTAGGGTAGGGAACTGTGAGTTGTTCGTTTACTTTGTTCAGCTCATTCCACCCCATCCTGAATGTGTGTGGCTCTCTTTCACTAGACAGCATGTGATCCCCAATGCTGCCAACATCTTCCCATCCAGGCCAGGAGTATTCCTTGTGGGTTCCCCCTCTTCATCTTGCTCTACCTTGCCCACCCAAAGCCTCTTCTCATGACCTCAGATCTCACCCCCAATCCCTACTGTATTTTTGGCCCTGAGTATCAGTCATTGAGCTGCATTTGGTTTCCCCTAGGGTGAAGCTGGAATAAGAAAGGATGAATGGAAATGCTACTATTGGTCCAGCCTCAGGATCAGTGTCTACACTATCATTGGATCGTTCATAATCTCAACATGGTTACTGGGTGTTTTTATAGCGAGACAGTATAGTGTAATGATTAAATTGATGAGCTCTGGAACCAGATGGCCTGGGTCCAAATCCCAACTCTACATCTTAGCTCTGTGACCGGGGCAAGCCTTTAATCTCTTTTCCTCAGTTTTCTCACCTATAAAATGAGGAAAATAAATATACCTATATTGAGGGATCTTGTGAGCCTTAATAAATTAATGTGTGTAAAGTGCTTAGAGGGGTGCCTGGCACATCCTAAAAGCTTTATAAATGTTTGCTATTTTGTCTTCTTATTATTACGCTAAAAGTCGATATGTATTTCTCTTTTTTCAGTTGCATTTTAAAAGATCCTCTTCTCCTATTGCACGTGTTATGGAACCAGGCCTTAGAAAGCAGGTGGATAGAGAACATGTCCAAAATGGGGGGTGGAGGGGAGAAAACGAGTCCTATTTATAGAAAAAGCATTGGCAAGTTCAAATGTGAAGTAATAAAAGAGACTATTACACTTTGTTAGGCCCTGGAATGTGAAGACATATTAATTTGCTTAAGAGCACTCATGGATCTAGACAGTCAAGAGTGGACATATAAATGACTTATTTTGGTAAACTTGATCATGAAGGTATTAATCATTTGAATGTTTAATGATTTATGCATTTGAAGAAAGGAAGGCTTGGAGGTCCCAGAACATTGTTAGATTCTTCTCCAATTTTCATCTCTATTGATTGTGTCTATTTTCCAGTAGAGAAAAAAGTCAAGTTACTCTTTTATGTTTGAAGATGATGTGATTGGCATGTTGCAATGGTTGGTTTAGTACATTGTAAAGGTGTGATGACAAGTTAAAAAATCAGGAGAAAAAATTTCCTTTCACTTTATGCGTTTAAAACAAAATTAGGATTTTAGGGGCCCGCCCAGTGGCACAATGGTTAAGTTTGCACGTTCCACTTCAGCAGCCCAGGGTTTGCCAGTTCAGATCCTGGGTGTGGACCTACTCACTGCTTGTCAAGCCATGCTGTGGCAGGCATCCCACATATAAAGTAGAGGAAGATGGGCACGGATGTTAGCTCAGGGCCAGTCTTCCTCAGCAAGAAGAGGAAGATTGGTGGCAGAAGTTATGTCAGGGCCAATCTTCCTCAAAAAAAAAAAAAAAGAATTTTATTTTGTAGTTGTAGTTAAAGAGGAATTGGGGCTGGCCCCATGGCTGAGCGGTTAAGTTTGTGTGCTCCACTTTGGCAGTCCAGGGTTTTGTTGGTTCAGATCCTGGGTATGGACCTAGCATCATGGCTCATCAAGCCGTGGTCAGCATAGCAGAGCCAGAAGGACCTACAACTAGAATATACAACTGTGTACTGGGCAGCTTTGGGGAGAAGACAAAAAAGAAGATTGGCAACAGATGTTAGCTCAGGTGCCAATCTTTAAAAAACAAAATAAATAAAGAGGAATTAAAATTCAAGAATAAGCTCAGCATGTTGCCATAGATGGAAAAGAGTGAGGATCACTCAGCTGGAGGTGATGGTTTTGTCACTTCATGCATTCAGATGTCCTTCCACGAACACACGACTACTAAGAGCTAAAGAATTTATTATTTTCTTTCTAAAAGGCTTCTGTTCAAATAAAGTTTTGAATTTCAAAAGGAAAGAAAAAAGAGAAGCCATTTCATATAATTTAGGCATTTAGTAAGTACTTAAATATTTGTTTGATATTTAAATTTAGGTTAAGATATGTTAACTTAATGCTGTAGATTGTTTACATAAATGCCTGCAATTCTTCTTCCCTATCTGCATGCCCCTTTGCAATGTGACTCTGGGTCTTCTCATCAGGAAGTGGAGTCTATTTCCCCACTCTTTGCATATGAACTGGTCTTGTGATTTGTTTGACCAATAAAATATAGTGGAAATGATGCTGTTCCAGCTGCAAGCCCAGACCTTAAGAAGGCTTCCTCACTGCAGTCTCTTTGGAACCCTCTAACCACCATGTGAAAAGCCAGGCAAGCCTGATGGGGAATAAGTGGCTTACGAAATGCCTCACGGCCCAGTTGCCATGGTGACAGGTAGCCAATTGCCAGATATGTCAATGGAACCATTCTGGATCAGGCATCCTGGAGAAGCAGAATCACCTAAATTTGACCTGTAGCCGTTTGCAGCTGTGAGAGCAAGTCTGGCCAATATCAGAAGAACTATCCTCCTGAGCCTGGGCCAAATTGTCTACCTGCTGAAGAGCGTGATAAGTAAATGGCAGTAGGTATCAGGTTTGGAGCAAGAGCTAACATTTTCTATGTGCCCGGCACCAGTCTAAGTGCTTTCCGATTACTGC